CTGTAAACAACATATTGTAGGATTATGGTTTTTAATCCATTCTGCAATCCATTTCCGTTTTATGGGAGAGTTCATCCCATTCACATTCACAGTTATGATTACTATCTGTGTCTTTTTCTCCATCCTTTTCCCCCTATTTATGCTTTTCTTTCTCCTTTTTCCTTTCCCCTTCACTAGTGTTTTGCTTTTGACCACCGCCTCCTTCAGTCCCTTCCCCTTTTATTATCCCTTTCCCTTTTCTTCCCCTTTAGTCTTACTGCTGCTTCCCTCCCTTCTTTCCCCCTCCCTTTTCTTTCCCCTCCCTTTTCTTTCCCCTTTTCCCTCTACTGCCTATAGGGCAAGTTAGATTTCTATACCTAACTGATTATATTATGCCCTTCTTGAGCCAAATCTGATGAGAGTAAGGTTCAAACAATGCTCCCCCCCTTCTTTCCCTCTGCTGTAATAGGATTTTGTGTCTTTTCCTGTAATGTAATTTACCCTTGTCTGCCTCCTCCTTTCTCAGTACATTTTCTAAGATCAGATTGATCCACTTATTTGGATCCATTTAACCCACTTGATTAGATTTTTTTTTATCATTACATCAAAGTCAACTAATATCCACCCTCTTTATGTATACTCCTTTAACAAGGTGTAATAACAATACAGTTCTCAAGGGTTGCAAGTCTCATATTCCCTTGTAGGGGTTTAAACAGCCCCCCCCTTATTAACAACATATTGTATCCTTCTGTCCCATTTACCTTTTTAAGTCCTTCTTGAGTCCTGTACTTGAAGATCAAATTTTTTGTTGAGCTCTGGTCTTTTTATCAGGAAAGTTTGGAAGTCTCCTATTTCGTTGAATATCCACCTCCTCCCTTGAAAAATGATGCTCATTTTTGCTGGGTAATTGATCCTTGGCTGCATTCCAAGCTCCTTTGCCTTATGGAATATCATGTTCCATGCCCTGCGGTCTTTTAATGTAGAAGCTGCAAGGTCCTGTGTAATCCTGACTGTGGTTCCATGATATTTAAATTCTTTCTTTCTGGCTGCTTGCAGCACCTTCTCTTTCATCTGGTAATTTTGGAATTTTGCTATTATATTCTTGGCGTTGTCAATTTGGGATCTCTTTCAGGTGGTGATCGGATTCTTTCTATGGTTATTTTCCCTTCTGGTTCTAGGACTTCTGGGCAGTTTTCCTTTATGATTTCCTGAAAGATACTGTCCAGGCTCTTTTTTTCATCATGATTTTCAGGTAGTCCAATAATTTTTAAATTGTCTCTCCTGAGTCGATTTTCCAGGTCGGTTGTTTTACTGATGAGGTATTTTACATTTTCATCATTTTTTCATTTTTTTGTTTCTGTTTGACTGATTCTTGCTCTCTCATAGAGACATTAGTTTCCATTTGTCCAATTCTAGTTTTTAACAGATTGTTTTCTTCTGTTAGTTTTTGTACTTCCTTCTTCAACTGGCCAATTGTGTTTTTTAGGGACTTGTTTCTTCAGTGTACTCTTCTGTTAGTTTTTGTCCTTCCTTCTTCAATTGGCCAATTGTGTTTTTTAGGGACTTGTTTTCTTCAGTGTATTTTTTTTCCAATTGGCCAATTGTATTTTTGAAGGACTCTTTACCTCTCTCATTTGACTATTAAAATCCTTCTTGAGCTCTTCTAAGAAGGCTTTTTGGGCTTCAGACCAGTTCATATTCCCTTTTGTTGTTGCAGATGTGGGTTTGTTGACAATGTTGTCCTCTTCAGAATTTCTGTCTTGATCTTCACTCTTCTCATAATATGAATCTATGGTAGTTTCTTTTTACTCATGGTGTTTCTTTATTCCCTGGCCTTTAAAGAGATTGAGCTCTCCTGCTGGGGAACAGAGGGTACTGACCCAAGCTTCTTGTGTTGGGAGCCTAGGTCTTGGTCACTGGCTTTGTGTCTGGGGCCTCTTATGCTGGGAATTGGAGGCTGTAGGTTTCTGGCAGCTTACCTTGTGTTGGGCTGGAATCAGCAAGGCTGGAACTTTCAGGCAATTCTAGGTTGCCTGCTTTTCCTTTCCTTTAGCTTTCTTCAGCTCCTTTTAGATGGGTGCTGCAGGGTGTTTATCTGCCTGGGGCCCCTGCAGTGTTGTCTCCCTTTTCTGCTAATGCACTGGGATTTCCTTTGCGTGGTGCCGAGGCACTGGTGGTTTTCTGAGCTGGTTTCCACCGGTTCCCCCCCTCACTGAGGCACTCGAGGTCCAGGTGTTGGTGTTTGCCTGCTCTACCACCTGGGCTTCAGGATTTCTTCACAATTGGGGCTTCAGGGCTCTACAGCTCACCTGGTGTTGGGTTGGAATCAGCAAGGCGGGCTTTAGGAAGCCTTTAGGTTGTTTTCTTCACCTCCTTTCAGATGAATGCCACAGGGTACTTATCCACCTGGGGCCCCTTGTTTTTGCTGAGGCACTGGGAGACCCGTTTGCTGGGTTGCTGCACTGCTGCTCCTTGTCTTTGTTCTAGTTCAGGTGTTCCAGGGTTTTTTTTTTTCTTGGGGTGATATTTTCTGGGTTTTCAGAGGTTGATAGGGGAGCGTGAGAGCGACTACCTTTTCTCTCCACCATCTTGGCTCCCGGAAGTGGAATACCGAGGTTTTACTTCAAACAGCAAGTTTTACTAATCACAGCTTAGGAAAAACTTTTCCAGGATTTACATCTCAAACTTAAATTTGTCCTGGTATAAAAAGCCAATCATGGGGCATCTAGGTGGCGCAGTGGACAGAGCACCGGCCTTGGATTTAGGAGGACCTGAGTTCAAATCCAGCCTCAGACACATAACACTTACTAGCTGTGTGACCCTGGGCAAGTCACTTAAGCCCATTGCCAATCCCCCCCTCCCTCCAAAAAAAAGCCAACCATTAGAAATTTCTATACACTTGCAAATTTTCAGCAAGCCATACATAACCCAAACAAGCTTTTTGGCTAGTTTACACATTAAAACGATAACCAACAATAGCTAAATTATTTTAGCAGTAACCAAATTATGAAAAGTTGCTTGATACAACTGATACAGAAAGTTCACCAATTTGAAACTTGAAACAAACCCATTACCAATCAGGTGACTTCAGTTTTGTTAAGTGCACTTCCAAATTACTTTACACAGAGAATCAACATCTCATCATTAACAGTTAAAACTACAAATTTGAAAGAGTGCTTACCGAAGTTCGGGGAATAGTTTCTTTTTCTTTTTCTTTTTTAATTTAATTTTATTAATTTATTTTGATTTATTAACAATCACTTCCATATGCTTTTGAGTTGAAAATTTTTTCTCCCCCTTTCTCCCCCCCACCCTCTCCAAGACATCGCACAATCTGATATAGGCTTTACATTTACATTCTTATTAAACATATTTTCACATTAGTGAAGTTGTAAGTAAAAATTAAAAACAATAAGAGGAACCATCAGAAAGATGAAACAAAACTCAACAGAAGGTAAAAATAAATGATAGCAATTTGACTTCCATAGTACTTTCTTTGGATGTGGACAGCATTTTCTATCCCGAGGCCTCTGGACATGTCTTAGATCCTTGTAATGCTGAGAAGGGTTCAGTTTAACAATATTAGTCATCGAATAACGTGGCTGTTATTGTATATAGAGAATAGTTTCTTTACCTTGAGCAGGATATGCTGAATCTGAATGGTTCCAGAGAAAGGTTGCCCTAGGGCCCAAGGACATTGCCAGGGGGGCACACACCATGGCTGATGCCCCTCCCCACTCCTTCCTTTTCCCCAGGTTGGGGAGGGCAAAATCAAAAGTGAGGGGTAAAGGGTGAAACTCTCTTCTCCTATAAGAAGGGTTAACAGATACCCTCTCCACTCAAGTGAAGCGAGTGGCAGAAAAGAGTGACCAGGATTGTAAGAAAGAGTTCTAAACTCCTCAGTGATCAACCATAAAACCTTCAGAATCTGCCAAGATATTTTTAGCTGTTCTAACTTTCCCTGTAACCTCCATGAAGGAAGATTCAGAGGTGCAGAGGGAAGGGAGTAAGTAAGCCTCAGGGAACCAAAAAGCGATTGGAGTTTTCCCCAATTCCCTAGTGCTGAGAGAATGAACATACACTTCCAGATATGGCATTAGTCCTTGTCCTCTATGCTGCGAAGGTGTACCCAGGTCTTTGGCCTTGAACCAACCCACTGGACCAAGAGCCTGAGAACATCAGGCCGAGTGAAAGACAGCCTTGTAACTGTCTCCCCAAAAAGCACCTCCAAGCCTTGATGCTTGGAGAGTGACCCCAACTGCACATCACGAAAGGGAGGGAGAGGAGTCTGGAGAAGAACTTGGGGTTAGGCAGTTTCTGTGTACGGGCCACCAAAATGATGCAATTTGGAGGTTCAGGAGTGCTGGGACCCCAAAATCACAGCACATGGGTCCTGTCTCAAAGAATTTGACCCAAGCCTTCTTTTAGCCAGAGACAAGGTTTATTAGAAAATAGTCATATTGGGCAGACTCTTAAAGAGTCTGAACATGGGTAAGCAGTGGCTAGATTCTAAGAATTCGAGCAGTGGCTAGATTATAAGAATCCAAACCCTAGCTAGATTTTAGGAAGCGGAGCCCTGATATTTCTTAATGCAAAGAAAAACCATGGAGAATTTCCCTCCCTTAAAATGTCTTATAATTAATTCTGTAAATTATTACTATGAATGAGTAGAATTTTTGTGCTTTTCTTTCTGGAAAATTTAACAATCCAAAATAATTTACCTTGTCTTTTATGATGTAATTTTTAGCAAAATTTAGTGAATGTATTGAAGAGAAATATCTGATCTCCACTATTCTGTTGTACTCCAGAACTTTATCTGTTCATAGAACAAAGCAGAAAGCATAGCTTGTTGGGTATGGGCCATCCAAGGAAAAAGATGCCAAAGGAAAAAACCTTTTAGTAAATAACATTATCTCTGTTCTCAGAAGAAATAACTCCCCAAATACATTATTAGTTTCCTTCAAAGGTGGGGAAAGACCCTGTCTACATGATTGATGTTGTATGTTATCTCATTTCCTCAGAACTCTACCTAAGTGAGGAAGAACTCAAGAAGCTTCATAGTTTTGAGGAACAACGTGTGAAAGAATACTTCAGTGAGAAGACAGAGAGCCTGAATTCCAGTGGTGGGGAGAGGATACGAGTGACCTCTGAAAGGTAGGATTTAAATTTTTTTTTCTTTTTTTCTTGAAATTTAACTGCCACCAAAGTCTCATGATAGGTTGTAGGCAGACCCAGGCATTAGGAAGACAGGTTGTATAAGTTTTGTCAGGCTCCTTGTGTTTTTAAGCTTCCCAGTAAAACATGGAATGAATGCATTGGTTTGTTGAGCAGTACGCAGATAAGGGCAAGGCCACAATGCTTATCTCTGGTCTGTCCAGATAACTTTGCTTTAATCATGGCCACAAATTACTTCCCTCACCTTAACTACTATTGAAAAAATGGGCCATTTTTGTATGTTTCAGTATTGATCTGTCACTGTGACTGGAAAACCCTCCAGCTCAAAATTGCGTCACAGAATCATGGAATTTGAGACTCGGAAGGGATCCCAGTAGCTGTCTACCCCAACCCATACATACAAGGCTTCCCCACAGTAACATGACAGACAAAGTGCTCCTCCAGGCTTTACCAGAAGACCTCTAAGGAGGGGGAATCCAGTATGTATGTAAGCAGACCATTCCATTTTTGGATGGCACCTGCGGTTAGAAAGTTTTTTCTGCTGTCAAGCCTAAACTGGCTTTCTCACAACTGCTAATGTTGTTCTTGGTTCTGCCCTCTGGGACCAAACAGAGCAAACCTAATCCTTTCTCTTTATGAACCCTTCAGATACTTTCAAATGCTTCCTGTCTCCAGGTTTTCTCTTTTCCAGGCTAAACATGCCCAGTGCCTTCATCAGATTCAACAAACGTATCTTGGAGGTTCTTTACCATCCCTGTTGTCCTCCTGTGGACATCCTCTGGTTTAATCTATGTCCTTTTTAAAATGTGGCATCCAGAACTGAGCACAATACTCCTGATGAAGTTTTATGAGACAGAGTACAATGGGACTATCACTTTGCACCCTGTCCTTAGGAGGTATTTCTCTCTCAACGTAGCTCAAGATCACATTTGCTTTTTTGGCTGCCTCATCACACTGTGGACTAATATTTTTTTAAAAAATGATTATTTTCAACATTATTAAAATTTGTTTTTGAGTCTAAAATTCTGCCCCTCCTTCCAGCCCATCCCCAACCCAACATGATATTAGTTATGCATGTGAAATCATGCAAAATATATTTCCATATTAGCCATGTTTCAAAAAAAGCATGAAAAATAAAGGAAGTGAAAAAAAATTATACTTCAATCTGCACTCAGAGTTTATCTGTTTTGTTTCTAGAGGTGGATAGCATTTTTGATCATGAGTCCTTTGCAGTTGTCTTGGGTTATTGTATTGATCAGAGTAGCTAAGTCTTTCACAGTTGATCATCATTACAATATTACTATTACTGCATATAATGATCTCCTGGTTTTGTTCACTTCACTTTGCATCAATTCATGTAGGTCTTTCCAGGTTTTTATGAAATCATCTACCTCATTGTTTCTTATGACACAATACTATTCCATCACAATTATATACCACAGTTCTGCCATTCCCCAATTGATGGGTATCCCCTCAATTTCCAGTTCTTTTCCACCAGAAAAAGAGCTGCTATAAGTATTTTTGTACATATACATCTTTTCCCTTTTCTTTGATCTCTTTGAGAAACAGACCTAGTAGTGGTATTTGCTAGGTCATAAGGTATGCACTGTTTTATAGCCCTTTGAGCGTAGTTCCAAATTGTTCTTCAGAATGATTAAACCAGTTCACAACTCCACCAACAGTTCATTAGTGCACCTATTTTATCACACCCTCTCTAGCATTTGTCATTTATGATAGGTGTGAAATGGTACCTCAAAGTTGTTTTAATTTGTATTTTTCTAATTACTAGTGATTTAGAACATTTAAAAATATGATTATAGATAGCTTTGATTTCTTCTTCTGAAAATTGCCTGTTTATATCCTTTGACTGTTTATCAGTTGGTGAATGGCTCATTTTTATTAATTTGACTCAGTTCTCTATATATTTGAGAAATGAAGCCTTTATCAGAGAATTTTACTATAATTTTTTAATATCACTTCATTGTCTATGATACCCTTTAGCTAAATCTAGTTTCCCTGATCATCTCTTTTAACTAGGTTTATTTTTGCTTTTTCTTTGTCAGAGATCATGATTGCCACCCTTGCCTTTTTTGGTTCAGATGAAGCATAACAGTTTCTGCTCTAACCTCTTATTTTAACTCTGTAACTTTCTGTTTCAAGTGTTTTTCTTGTAAACAATACATTGTTAGATTTTGGTTTCTAATCAATTCTGCTATCCCATTTCCATTTCATGAGTGAGTTTATCCTCTTCACACTCACAGTTATGATGACTGTGTATTTCCCTCTTATCCTATTTCCTTTTGTTTATTATTCTCTCTTTTTATCCTATCCCTCCTCAAAAGTCTGTTTTGCTTCTGACTACTTCCTCTCTTAACCATAAACCTCTTATCACCCTCCTCCTTTCTCTTATCCCCTTCCTCTCCTACTTCCCTGTTGGGTAAGATAGATTTCTATACCCAGCTGAATGTGAAATATATTCTTCACTCCTTGAACTAATTCCAATGAGAATGATGTTGAAGTATCGCCTGCTTCACCGCCATTTTTCTTCCCTATTGTAAGAGCTCTTACTTGTGTGCCCCTTTTATGTGAGATGATTTTCTCCATTCTTCTTCATCCTTTCTGTTTCTCTCAGTGCATCTCTCTTTCTCACCCCTTCATTTTTTTCAGATCATCCCAATGTAATCAATTCACAACCATGCCCTCCATCTATGTAGACTCCATCTAACTGCACTAATAATGATAAAGTTCTTAAGAGTCACATGTATCATTTTCCCATATAGGAATGCAAACAGTTTAACCTTATTGAATCCCTCATGATTTATTTTTTATGTTTACCTTTTTGTACTTCTCTTGAGTGTTGTGTTTGAATGTTAAATTTTCTATTTAACCCTGATCTTTTCATCATTAATGCTTGAAAGTCCTTTATTTCTTTGAATGTCCATTTCCCTCCTTAATGATTATACTCAGTTTTTCTGGGTAGGTGATTCTTGTTGTAATCCTAGCTCCTTTGCCTTTCAGAATATCATATTCCAAGCCCTCTGTTTCTTTAATGTGGAAGCTGCTAAATCTTGTGCTATCCTGACTGTGACACCATGATATTTGAATTGTTTCTTTCTGGCTGCTTGCAATATTTTCTTTTTGACTTGGGAGCTCTGGAATTTGGCTATAATATTTCTGGGAGTTTTCATTTTGGGATCTCTTTCAGGAGGTGATTGGTGGATTCTTTCAATTTCTATTTTACTCTCTGCATCTAAGATATGGGGGCAGTTTTCTTTTATAATTTCTTGAAATGTGATGTCTAGGGTTTTTTTTGTTTTTGTTTTAATGGATCATGGCTTCCAGGTAGTTCATTAATTACTAAGTTATCTCTCCTGGATCTATTTTCCAGGTCAGTTATTTTTCTGATAAGATATTTTGCTTTCTTTTCTTCTATTGTTTCATTTTTGACTTTGTCTTATTGTTTCCTGATGTTTCGTGGAGTCATTAGCTTCCGCTTGCCCAATCCGTATTTTCAAAGAATTATTTTCTTTAGTGAGCTTTGTATCTCTTTTTCCATTTAGCCAATTCTGCTTTGTAGGGAGTTCTTCAGTGAATTTTTGTACCTCTTTTTCCATTTTGCCTGTTCTGCTTTTTAAGGAATTCTTTTCTTCAGTGAATTTTTATGCCTCTTTTATCACTAGGCCAATTCTGTTTTTCAAGGTGTTTTTTAAAAAAAATTTTTGTGCCTCTGTTACCAAGCAATTGATTCTCTTCTCATAATTTTCATGCATCACTCTCATTTCATTTCCCATTTTTCCTCTACTGGCCTTATCTCTTTCTTTAACTCTTCTGGGAATTCTTCTTGGGCTTGTGTCCAATTAGCATTTTTCTTTAAGGCTTTGCTTCTAGCTGTTTTCACATTGTTGTCTTCTTCTGAGTTTGGTGTCTTGGTCTTCCCTGCTACTGTAGTAGCTTTTTATGGTCAAATTTGTTGTTGTTCTTGTTGTTTGCTCATTTTTCCAGCCTGCTGCTTGACTTTGGACTGTATGTTAAAGTTAGGCTCTGCTCACTTTGGAGTGGGGGAGGCGAAGTCCTGTCTAAGCTTTAGGCTTTTCCATGCTGTTGTTTTAAGAGTTAGTTTTGGAGGTCTGCAAGTTTTGGTGCCTCCAAAGTGGTATGATCTGGAGAGAGGCATGGTTAGTGCTCTTCTTGTCTGTGCTGTGATCTTTACCAAGGAAGAACCTTTGTTCCCCTGCATTTGGAAGCTCCAGTGCTCCTCTATGCCTTGAAACTGCAACCAGTGTCCCTGGTCCCTTGTGACAGACTGAAAAAGCTCTTCTTTGCCCTGAAACAGCAATGCAGAACTGTGTGTGTGACTAAAATTGACAAACAATGCCAGGTCCTATATCTAGTGCTAATAAAGGGTCCCATACAGTCTCTTTCTGACCAGGTGTCTGAACCCCTTACTAAATCTGGATTGATGGCTCCTGAAGCTTCTGCTGCTGCCCACTACTGGTCAGCCTACCTCAGTGTCACAGACCTCTCCTGCAGACCTCCTAAGTTGTCTTAGGAGGGAAAAATATCTTATTCTGACCTTTTAATTTTTTTTGGCTTTGCCACTCCAGAATTCTATTTGAGATGGTATTTTAAAGTTGTTTAGAGGGGAATGTTGAGAGGGTTTGACTGGATTGCTGCCTCTACTACTGACCTATATTGAGCCTGTAGTTCATAACGCTTTCCCCTCCTTCCAATGCTGCCTCCCTCATCTTTTTTCAGAAAATTTTCTGTCTATGCCTCTCCCACTTTATATTTATGAAGTGGATTTTTTTGTACTCAAGTACAAAGATCTTACATTTATCCCTATTGAATATCATCTTGTTGCTCTAGCCTCTCAGGATTCTTTTGGGATCTGGACTGTAGTTGAATGTGTTATTTATCCCTCCCAGCTTTGTGTTTTCTGTGCATTTGATGAATATATACCAACTGTGCCTTTATCCAAG